TTTTGTAATTTGTAACTTTTTAAATATTTAAAAAATATCATTTGAACTTTTTTGAAACGAGTATATTTTGAAAAATATTAAACGAAAAATATTATTTCTTTAAATATTTTTTGGAGACGTCATATAAACAATGTGATATTCAACAAGAGGAGTTTCGAAATGTATGTTTAGACTGTTTTAACAACTACATTTGTTGTCTTAATCAAAAATGTTTTATTGTGAAGACTATCATTCTTCTAATTTAAAAGAAAATTGTGTTGCAACAAACAAAATAATAACAAATGTAGAAATGTACTTAAAACATAAAGTTTTGAAATGTTTGACTGGCTATTACGACACGTATGATCTGTATCATAAATGCTTTAATAATTGTTTGTATTGTGAAATGTTCGAAGTTTGTATATCATGCAAAATACTCATATTTTGAATGAAAAGAGTGAATATGTTCCTTTACCTAATGGTAAAATTGTGCAAAAATTAATATTATGCTCATATTTATTCTATACAAAAAATGGCGAGTGTGACATATGTTCGTTTATATATGGGGAATTGTGTGGTATGTGTGATGACAAAAAGTGTGTAAAAATGCTCAATTACAAAAGTATTAAATTGTGATGGTGATTGCATTGCTTTTGAATCAAATGGGTGTATTTCATCACCAAACACGTATTGTTTAGATTGTAAAAATCATTCAAATTATATTTCAGAATTAAATGGTGTGTAAACTAAATATTCGAAGTGTAAAATAGCCAATTCAAATGGTATTATTTCACATCAAATCAAACATGTGTCATTTTGTTATAAAATCAAACAGAAAATTGTAACCTCATCAACAATAATATGGGAAGTGTATTCACTGTAACAGCAAACATTATCTCAATAATAAAAAGTGTTTAAATTGTTTGGATAATTGCATGAGTTGTATCAATGCAACTGTGTTTGTTCGATGTGAAGACGGTTTTTCGGTATCAAGTAACAGTATTTGTATAACATCAACAACACAAATGGAAAATTGCAAGAAAATGATAAACCAACTTTTCATATGTGCAATTTGTGAACAAAAAACTTCAGAAACGACAAGGGTCAATGCGAGAACTGTATTGACACTATGATGAATGCACCAGAAAATACGTCTTTAAATGCAGAAACACATTTCTTGTCACTGATGGACTAATGCATTTCATTCAGCTCTACAACTGCCAACAAAA